TGCAGAGGATCTATTGTTGAGCAAGTGATGTATTGCTAAATTTCTCCAGATCTCTTCTGATAAAGAAACAAACCCATCTACATCTTGGCCAAGAATTAATTCCTTCATTTCAGTTAAATTAAAGCCACACTGTACTATAATTTTAGTTAAATTGTGGATATGTTTTACTATTTTGTTTCCTCATTTTAATGGAGCTAAATCATGGTCACAATTCAACTAAAACAAGGGAATGAATTAGAACAACGTGGCCACGATTTTACTATATAACAAATGAAGTTGTGAGAATTGAATTGAAATGAATTCTTAATTTAGAATGTCAGATAAAGTTTAGTCTATCCCTGTTTCGTCTAGCAGGGATAGACTAAACTTTATCTGACATCAAGTTATCAAACAGAACACTCAAAAACTTAAATTCAAATACTCTGCCTATACAATCTGGTGTTACCTGTTCCCGAAGCTCTTCCTCGGTTGGTTGCTTGGCTTCAGGGGCGGGTGTGTGGGTGGGGCTATGGCTGCGAATGTCATTCTGAAGGCCGTACACAGACTGTGAAAATCATCAGAATAATTTACAACCATATTTAGATCAATTTAAAACAGGCTCAGATATCAGAGAAGAGATCTCTGTGTGATTGCATCAGTGATTGGGGATTTCACATGGGCAGCTGCGTGATTGCTGAGGTGAGCCGTTCTGGATTGCTAGGATTTGTGATTGGTGGATTGATTTAAGACTGATTCAGTATTCTGAATTAGCTCAGTGGTTGATTGATTCATCAAATGCAGACGCTCAATGGTATAATGAGTGGAATAACTGCTGCAGTGAATAATCACATGGTTTAGGATATTAAAACCTTGAGTAATTTGATTAAATGCTGGATTTCCTGCAGTGCTAGTGGGTTTTGTGTTACCTTTCTTGTTTTGTGAGGGTTCTTCATTCTGGATGATTTCTTTATGTCCACTTCTGTTGTGTTCACACACCCTGGCTGAAACACACACACATACACACACTTTGTCAATATAACTGTCAATTCTCTAGATGACCTATAATTTATGGTTGCCAGGCAACCGTGTTGCTTTGACTGTAAACCACCTGACGCAGTGCACCTAACCAGCATACTCCCTCCTGTTTTGGGAAATTGAGATGATATTTTTAAAAAGGCATGGTGCTGTCAATCAAATGGTTTCCTGCTGGTTAGACTCAATGTTTACACTCTCCAGTATAAGATGAACTTTAGATCCAGGCCTCTAATGTATGTTGGAGAGAGAACGAAAACAGCCTCAGGACACTTAGAGTTCTGCAATAAACCCCATTTGGACCTGTACTGGCTAAATATGAACAAGAACTGCAGCATCTCGCTATTGCACATCAGCTTGAAAGATCGAGCCAGGTTAGCATGAAGTTGCTAATGAGACGGATCAGCTCGGTGTAATTGAGGGAGAAATTGCTACTTCCTTCAAAACAAACAGCTCACAGACACACAAGTCATAAAGCGATACACACCAGGTGATTCACACATATAGACACTCAAAATCGCAAGGACTGGTGCAATAATAATAATACTGTAAAACATATTGTTTAATGACTATTTAACATTGAAATGTAATGAAATTGCATAGTAGCGCCATAAGTTACGCTACTGTTGTACTTGTAATAAAACTGTAGAAACAATGGGTAAAAACACAAATAGCTTTAGACTTTCTTGATTAGATCAATATAATAACTATATTATAATTTCTACATACTGTATATAAACAACAGGTTTTGAAACATACACATTTAAAAACTATAAATACCGCAGATGAAATAAAAACAAAGTACATTTATAAATTTTCTTAAAGGTCACATATTTTACAACTTTCTGGAGTTTTATTTTAGGTTTTGATGTCCTTAAAGGGTTAGTTAACCCAAAAATGAAAATTAGCCCATAAATTACTCACCCTCAAGTCATCCTAGGTGTATATGACTTTCTTCTTTCAAACAAATCCAGTCGGAGTTATATAAAAAAAATGTCTTTGATCTTTAAAGCTGTTTCATGGCACTCAGTGTTGCATGCATCAGTCCAAAAACACTGAATTAAAATGAGCCCATCCTAATTTTCATTTTTGGGTGAATTAACCCTTTAAGAATATATATTTGCGGTATAAATACCAAAAACCATCTCAATATATTTTTACAGCTCCTCTCTCAGGAGCTCTGCTGAGAACAGGTCGATTTTGGCCTGTCTAATTAATATTCATGAGCCTCTCTTCTGATTGGCCTGTTATTTTCTGAGTGACGCACGGCCAGGCCTAGCTGGAGGCAGCAAAGCAAAGGGGAAACTGGAGGCTAGGGATGGGCGATACCTCTTATTTTATTTTCGATCCGATACCGATATTTTCAAGCCCAGTATTGCCGATATCGATACCGATACTGATACCTGTAAACTAAACTTATTAAAAGAATATAATCAGTAATTATACTCACTTAATATTAGATTTTAAAGCCATGTTTTTTAACATTTCATAGGCCATTTTGTTTACACTGTCAGAAATAAAATATACTATAATTGTATTTTAGCACTTTACTGGGGCAGTAACCTCAAAGGTGCAACTATACCCCTAAAAGTGAGCATATTAGTACCATTCAAGTATGCATGCTTTAAGGGTAGATAAGCTACAAAGGTGCACCTTTGAGGATACCTCATGAGAAATAAACACGATGTTACATAAGTACTAAAATGTATTATTATTATTACCATGGTAAATTTGTGGTTACTGCAGTTTTACTACAAATACTGCGGTAAACTGTGGTTACTGTAATAAAACCATGGTTAATTTTTGTAAAAGGCTGCCAGGCTGTTGTACCCCTAAAGGTGAAACTTTAGTATATTTTTTCTGACAGATTTATTAACAGCAATTATAGAACATAACACAATCCATTTGAACTTTTAACAACCAGTTTAAATAAATTTACTTGCACAAACTAGCCAATTTAAAATAAATATTACATGTACACAAAAGTTTGGGGTCAGCAAGATTTTGTAATATATTTTTTAAGTCTCATGCTCACCAAGGCTGCACTTATTTGAAAAAAACAAAACAAAAACAAAAAAACAGTAAAATCAGCAATATTGTGAAATATAACAATTAAAATAACTATTTTCTA